TAGTTGTCAGGATTGAATTATCAGGACAGTGTTATGTAAATAATAAAACAAACGCTATCTGTAGAATCCGGTCCAAAATATGAATAAAAATACTTAGCCAAACGCACCCTTTATTGTTTACATAACCGTTACAGTTTGCTTTTTCACTTTTCTTCACTGCTTCACCACTTCACTTTCTCATTCTCAGTATACTACACTAGCTTCGTGCTTCACTTCTCGGTTTGTATTACTGTTTTCAGTGCTTCACTTTCTTAGTATCCATCACCACCATTTCAGTTTCTGATAATCCATTGCCAGGTTCAGTGCTTCACTTCCCAGTTTGCATTACTACCATTTCACTTTCTAGTATCCAGTGGCAGCTTCAGTGCTTCACTTCTCACCGTGAACCCGCAAATCCCTCTGTCACAAACCTACATCCTAACCCAATGTGAACCCACCGTCAACCCACCACCGTGAACCTGCAAATCCCTCTATCACAAACCCACCGCAAACCCACCTCAGATCCCCAACCGTGAACCCGAAAATAGATCTGTCACAAACAAACCCACCGTGACCCGATCTTTCACACACAAACCCACCATGACCCGATCTGTCACACATAAACCCATCGTGACCCGATTTGTCGCAACGTAACCCACCATGACCCGATCTTTCGCAAACCAACCCACAGTCACCAGATCTTTGGCAACCCAACCCACCGTCACCCTATCTATCGTAAACCAACCCACCGTGACCCGATCTATCCAAAACCAACCCACAGTGACCCGATCCTTTGCAACCCAACCCATCATCACCCGATCTATCACAAACCAACCCACCGTCACCCGATCTATCGCAAACCAACCCACCGTCACCCGATCTATCGCAAACCAACCCATGTGACCCGATCTATCCAAAACCAACCCACCGTGACTCGATCCTTCGCAACCCAACCCAACCCACCGTCACCCGATCTATCGCATACCAACCTATCGTGACCCGATCTTTCGCAACCCAACCCACCGTGACCTGATCTGTCACAATCCCACACCCCCGTCTGGATCAAACACACCTCAGATGCTGTTTTGCGTTTTTTATTTGTTTGGCAATAATTGATTGTGAATGGGTTTATGTTTGATTTGTGTAGAAGGGGATGATGTTTTGCGTTAATGAATTGTGAATGGGTTTTTGTTTGATCTGTGTAGAAGAGGATGTTGTTTTGCGTTAATGGATTGTTGAATGGGTTTTTGTTTTATTTGGCATTTGGCACACGCATGTGAATGGGTTTTGCTTTTATTTGGCATTTGGCACACCCATGTGAATGGGTTTTTGTTTAATTTGGCATTTGGCACACGCATGATTGTAATTGGTTGTTTGTTTTGTTTGGCACGGGAATGATTTTTTTATTTTTTATTTGTTTTTGTTTTTGTTTTATTTGGCATAGGCATGAATCCTTTTCAATGCGTTTTTGTTTTGTTTGGCATACGGATGAATTGTTTTAATAAGTTTTTTATTTTGTTTGACAGGTTTTTAATCTCCTATACACACACCCTTTAATTGTGTTTGATGTTTATCTGTCTCAGAGAAGGGAAAGAGACCCGCAAAGTATCCAAATCTAGTTTGTAAGTTTCCGTTACCTATTTGTTTTCAAGTCATCGAGCCGCTATTTTTTTCATTTTTTTTATTGGAAATAATTTGTATTAATACTGTTTTTTTTTTCATTAATCCTTTTAATTTGGACTTTAATAATGCGTTTTGTAATTGGTTGACTCAAATATTTTATTCCGGTTTCACTAATTGATTTATTTGTTATGTAGATTCGACATTGTTCTTTAATCGTAACCAGAAATTACGCTCATATGCACATATGTCAGCATAATTTGTCTCGATGTCGCAGGATTGATTATTACTTGCAACAGAGGCGAAAGTTTCGACGTTTTTCCAGACTTGGAGTTCGTCATACACCCTGTTGGTCGACATTGTCTGTATCTGTATCTGTATCTTCCCCTGCATTGACGTCTTCAAGCAGTGTCGGATCGAACGAGGTATAATTTTATATGTGTTTAGTTGATTACGTTAACATGTGAGTATTATATTTTGTAATGTGATTGGTGATTCGTATGGTGCCCCAATGTTGGTTGTCCCTCACAATACTGTCCTTAGATGGGTGATTTTGTGGCCTGGTCCGCTGAGATGACCCACAAATTTCTGGTCCTGTTATCTGAGTGGGCCAAAACTTCACACGATACTGCAATAAAAACAGTTGATTACCAAGAAATGTTGGACGACATATCATCACTGGCTGGCAGGAGACTTAACGTGACACAATTAACCTTTAAGTTCTTTCGCCTGCGAAAACTTTATCAAACATGGCGAAAATTGTTGCAACACACGAGGTTCGGGTGGGATCAGGAGTCACAAAGTCCAACGTGTCCCATTGAGGTTTGGCAAGAATATGTCAAGATAAATTTTTATAATGTTTAACTATTATTATTCAACACCACTGTAAATGTATGCATTTTTTTTGGACTGCTAAATATTAATATATTATTCTTTTAACTTACCAGCAAAACCCAATGGCACAAAAATTTTACCAAAAGGGACTTCCACAAAAGGAACTTTATGAAATAATATTTGAGAAGCAAACTGCCACTGGAAGATATGCGTACACATCTACATCCCAACAGGTGGAGACATCCAGTTATTCCAATCACGACACAGTTACAATGGATGATAGCGACTTTGAACCTGATCCTGATCGTTTGACAGGGGAAAACGGCCAAACACATCTGGCCATGGAAGAGTGAGAAATAGGAGGCACAGAAGGGGGCCGGGACATTCAATTGTGGATGCCATTTTTAGCTTGACGGACGAGCTTGCGGAGAAGCGGACAATGGGATAGAGGGCTTCCAATCACAGTGCAGATGAGAGGGAAGAAGAGAACACCAGTGCTCCATCTGATCCTTTCTCCATGAGCAATTGTATTGACATTATGACGGTCATACAAGTACCGACACAGTTTTATCTGTCGGCTGTCACGTACTTATATGAAAATCCGAGGTGGCAGGAGATATTTGTGAAACTCCCATCGGAGGAAAAGGCTAACTGGATTCATAACAAATTTTCCAATAATTAGTAGATGACACTATATTTCATAATTGTTTGGCAACAATTTTGTATGCGTCAGTTGGCAGTTGTCATTACAATTACAATTTATAACGCTACTGTATGAACTTATTTATGTGATATTGTAATGTGTAAACACTGTTTTCGATTGTCATTACAATTAAATATTGATTGTTATATTTTGCTAAGTAGTACAACAATTGTTAATTGTTGATAAATGTTTTGCAAATGTGTAGGTTTAAATGGCGTCGTCTAGCCGTATAGGAAGAAGACGACGTGCTACATATGAGAGGGACGAAGAAGAAATACTGACAGATATAACCGTTGCATTCTGCGGTGTTGCCGCGTTAGAAGCAAGTAGGCGTGAACCACAACATACATCTGTATTAACTGGTCATCAGTAACATGTTGGAAGTACTCAACGGTCACCCTGACAGGATCTATGACAAGTGCCGCATGGACAAAGACTGTTTTACATTGTTATGTGAATTTTTGTCTGATCAAGGCAAATTGCAACCAACCAGGAGAACGAGTTTGGAAGAACAAATTATGATATTTATAACAATCGTTGGAAAAAACGAGACAATCAGAACGATGATGGAGGATTTCCAACATTCGGGTGAGACGATCTCTAGACAAGTTACCGCAGTTTGCGACGCTATATGTGAGTTGAAGACAGAGTTTATCAGACCACCTGACTTCAATGGTGTTCCATGGGAAATATCAGCCAACAGAAAATATTACCCTTTCTTTAAGGTACTGGTTCATTATGTTTGCTATTAGTAGATAGTTAAGTTCATTGTGTTATTAATTTGTTTAGTAGGTTAATATTAGTAAAATGCCCCATTTTCATGATAGGACTGTATTGGAGCCATGGATGGCACACATGTATACGCTTCGGTTCCACGTGAATTTGCCGATAGGTACCGAAATCGCAAAGGATCGATGTCACAGAATGTAATGGTTGTATGCGACTTTAACATGATGTTCACTTATGTCGTTACTGGATAGGAAGGATCTGCGCATGATTCAAGAGTTTTAAATTCAATTAGTGATGATCCTAATTCTGGATTCCCACATCCTCCCAGGTATAAGTATTTTCTTGACGTATTATAGTGTATTACCTCCACTGTTGTGGCCCTATAATTCAAATAAAATGTCTGATGTTATTACAGGGAAATACTATTTGGTTGATGCGGGTTATCCAAATAGAGATGGGTTCCTCGCCCCTCATAGGCGAGTGACTTACCATATTTCTGATCACCGTCGTAACCAAAGGGGGCCACACGAGTTGTTTAACTACAGACATGCTTCACTCCGCAATGTTATCGAGAGAACCTTTGGTATTTTGAAAAGACGGTTCCGTATTCTAAATGGAATGAACAATTAGCCGTTGGACAAACAAGGGAAGATTGTTATGGCATGTTGTGTACTTCATAATTTTATCAGAATGTACAATATGGATGACCGTATCTTCGAACAAACCAATAATAGTACCGATAATGAGCAAGTAAATTGTGATCGTCAAAATGGGGCAGAATATGGCCGAAATGGAGAAGGACTGAGTCAACCGCAACAAGNGATCGTAGATAGTGCACACCAGGCCATAACGACTGTTTACAAAAAAAAAAAAAAGTGATTTCTTGTACTTTTTTTCCTTTCTCTTTTTGATGAAATACTAACCATTGCTTCATTATTTAAGTTAGCTCCACCCAAAAACACTATCTGCACCACTAACCTATACATGGGCCATGTAATTATATTGCTTTGATGGTTGAGACTGTCGATATATATATATTATGTAATGAAGATAAAACTTTAGTCATCGTCATAGTTCATACATTGCCATAAATAAGTGGTAAGATGGATGTAATTCTGACATTCACTTAAATGATAAACTCTAATTTAAATTGACTTATTCGCTACAGTCACCCGTGAGTTGCCCTCTATATACGTCTCCAAGTAGGAGGAACCTTTAATATTCATATATTTGTAAGGAAGAGAGAGAGGGAGAGAAGCTTCAAGTATCACCGGAGAAAACTTAAGAATCAATTTTGATCCTACGTTGTTTATTCATCAGACAGACCCAAATTAGGAAAATTTAGGCATTAGCTATGAAGTTCTGTAAGAAATATCAGGAGTACATGCAAGGACAAGATGAGAAAAAACTACCTGGCCTTGGTATCAAAAACCTCAAGAAGATTCTTAAAAAGTGCAGGAGAGACTTTCAATCTCAACAACACCTTGATGGAGTTATTGACCTCCACACCTGCCCTCACCAATGTTCTGGTATCCATTTATTTTTGTTTCCTGTCCCCCCACCATTTTCTTTAGCTATTTTAGCTGTCATATGTTATCCTGAATCAAGGATTTCTTATTCATATTAACAATTGAAAATATGGGTATAACATATAATAATACTACTCGTATGAGATGAGTTGTGTTGTAGGCAGATTGAATAAAAATTAATCGAAATTTATTTTGTTGTTTGTTCATGGAAAATGCAGAATCTAATTCATAATGAATAATTTCTCAAATTCCTCTATCCGTAGTTCAATACCTTGAGGTGCTGCTTATTTTACATTTATTATTATTTTTTACTTCATTTTAAAACATTTTTGTTCATTCACACTGGTTACTCATATATCCTAATTCAACTTGATTTTTAGTGTGCGATGGCACCTTCTTCCCTTCCCTTCTCAATGAAATGTCAGCTGTAGTAGGCTGCTTTAATGAACGTGCTCAGAAATTGCTTGAGATTCATTTGGCTTCTGGCTTTTCAAAGTGCTTTATTTGGTTTAAAGGCAAGATTCAAGGGACCCATGTTGCCTTAATTCAAGAAGGCAAGGACTTGGTTAACTATGCACTAATTAATGCCATTGCAATTCGAAAGATACTGAAGAAATATGATAAGGTATATTTTATCCCATTTCGTAAAGTGGATTTAGTAAAATATAATATGTTTCTGGTTGTGATATTTAATATTAAATTTTGTATGGTGCAGGTTCACTACTCTAAGCAAGGTCAGGCCTTCAGGTCACAAGCTCAAAGTATGCATATTGAAATTCTACAGTCACCTTGGCTGTGTGAGCTTATGGCTTTCCACATCAATTTGAGGGAAACAAAAGTCAACTCAAGGAAGGCCCCTGCATTTTTTGAAGGGTGCTATCTCACATTTAGTGACAGCAAACCTTCGCTCTCTTGCGAACTCTTTGATTCTGTCAAGCTCGATATTGACTTGACTTGTTCTATTTGCTTGGTAAGTTCCTATTTCATTTTTCTAGAGAAGGTATTATGCATACACAACGCATAGAAAAATTGTGTACTATCCAAACTTCAATGAAGCACATCATCAGAAATCGTGGAAGAGCATATAGGATGAGTTTTAGAAGCTAGCTACTATTTGTTCATTACATATGCCCTCATGGTGCAAGGTCTATGTCATCATCTATTTCACTGTGAAAACTGGAAGATTTAAGGATATTTTGGCCCCCAAAAAAAAAAAAATAATAATAATAAATAAAGTAATTTGATAGAAAAAAAACAAAAAAAGAGTTAATATTGTGGTTCAAAATATTGGCCTTAAATACACTACAGAAATTGATTAGAAATAGATTTTTCATATTTTGGTCCGTTTGTATATTTACAAATGTTTTGTTGGCAGTAAGAACCAAGGTTTCTGTTTCTAACTCTGGGTTCTAGTTGTGCAATCTGGTACATCCAAGATCATCAAAATTGAAAGATATCAGACTTTGTTGTATGACAGGACATTGATAACTTTACTGTCATTTTGCTTCAGTATGCGTATTTTTCTTGGAACAGGACACAGTGTTTGATCCAGTTTCTCTGACATGCGGTCATATATTCTGCTACATGTGTGCTTGCTCTGCGGCATCGGTCACCATTGTTGATGGACTAAAGGAAGCAGATTCTAAAGAAAAATGCCCTTTGTGCCGAGAGGTAACCTTGAAGATTTGGTTCACAATTAGAATATAAATCAAGTGCTTAATTGTTTATTCTAATTAGATTGATTTTGATTTCAGGCAGGAGTATATGAAGGTGCTGTACACTTGGAAGAGCTTAGTATCCTATTAAGCAGAAGGTTTGTTTCCATTTCTATACTCTTAAATTAAAAGATAAGTCAGTTTGATGTGATTCTTGTTATTCTTAATCTATTTGATTTTGCTCATGGGAGGATTGAGGTGGCGGTTCAAGTGGAAAGAAAATTAAAACATGTTGCTAGTGTTTATGCACACCTTGCAAGTTTCTTATATCTATCATGCTTATTCTAACAGCTGCCCCGAATCCTGGGAGGAAAGGCTTCGAACAGAAAGAGTGGAAAGGATTCGGCAGACAAAGGAGCATTGGGAATTCCAGTGTCGGTCATTTGTGGGCGTCTAATTAGGCAATTCTCTCTCTTTGGTTTTAGTGCAATTTGTATATATTATTCATGTAGAAGAGCTACCCTGTTTCTGAGTTATTGGAAAAGTTTGTGATGGTGTTAGAATTACTGTCAGTCATTAAAAAAAAAAAAACTTTAATGGATTAGAATAAGTTATCTTTTTGATGCACCGGGTTTGGTCGAGTTACGCTTAAGTTTCAACTCTCCATAATTTATATTCTATAAATAGAATCGGGCAATGCCCAATGGGAGTAGTTTTCAGTGAACTTATAATTCCTATATCAATATTGCGTAAAATCTCTAGAAAAAATTGATATTTTTATACAGAAAACACATGTCAAAATCTCATTGGAAAATTTTAAATGTATAAGATGAATCCTGATACATACAGATCCTTTATCAAAATAAAACTCCTAATAAAATGCAAAACCTAATTACAATTGAAGTCCTAATTGCATTTTTATCTTGGAATTCAATGGATAACACCTATCAGAACGGCGCTCTACAATGTTCTTGAATCCACTCAGATACTTGTTGGTTAATAACACTCAAATTAATATATAGTCCTTTCTTGAATCCAAAACCACCTTTCTTTTATATTTCTTCCGCCTATACTCAGTAAAATTATCTCTACATACAATCATCATGTTCTCCGCAAAATCAGTTCGAAGAAATTTTTGCACGCTCATGAAAAAGTTAGGGTTAACTGATTCCAAGAATTCGTACAAAAAATTTGCGACTGTTGAGGGGTCCAAGAACATTCATAGTCCAAGAGGTTACATAGTAATGTACGTGGGTGAAGAGCTTAAGAGATATCAAGTTCCGCTCAAGTATCTGTCGTTGCCCAAGTTTCAAGAATTGATAATGCAGTCACAGGGGGATGATCTTGATGTTAAAGTTGACGGCCCAATTACGCTTGCTTGCACAACTGAGACTTTCGACAAATTACTCAAGTTCGCCAAGAAGTGCCAAACTGAAGGTGCTGTGTAGAAAAGTATGATTTTTTGGTTAGCCAACATCAAGATTGATCCCAAACTTCACTGCTATTTCTTTCGGGGTTGTATAATTTTGGCCCAACCAAGTAACATTGTTTGATAATCCATTACTTAGATTTGATGATTAGCATGTTCTAACTTGTTTATAATCTTTCTTATGCAATCTTATATTTTTGTTTTCAAAAACTGTACTCATATTATGAATCCATACGAAGAACAGTAACTTTAAGCAGTCATCATTCATTCTTGTTGAAATCTGTGATTAAGGATATATAATTGGGATTGAAGAATACGTTTATAGGTTTTCTTATTCAATTTTTTTTCCTTATCTAAGAAACGGTGGTGGTTGTAAAAGGATATCTAATTGGGATTGAAGAGACTAAATCCATGTAATTACCCAAAAGAATTAAGATTCTAATCATGCGAGATTGAGTTTATGTATAATTGAGATTTGTTTCCTTTGAATATCCTCTTTTATCTACAACCTAAAATGCGATCCCTATCCCAACAGATTCCCATGGTAATGGTATCTCAACAGAAGATTCTCATGATAATCTCTCCTCAACGGCAATAACGATAATGGTATCCCAACAGATTAACATGATAATTTCCCCTCACCGCTACAGCTAAATATCCCATTTCTTGGCCGTTTCTACAACTCTTCAAACCTCCTCCACAATTGACAAAACATCCCACCCAGCCTGTCAATTTGAAATTGATTTCATAGTAAAATTCCTAATATCAAAATAAATTGGAATCAATGTCTTATTTATTTATTCTTTTTAAGGTCAAAACTATAAGAAAAGAAAAAGTAACCTGGTCCAATGAGGCCCATAAGGCCATAAGAAAAGGAGAAGGTTTGGCGTGAGTGAACAAGACAAGCTTAAAAGGGTTTGAAGGGCCAGCCGTGAAGAAACGATCCGGGTCCCTTCCAATGCGTAGAAGGTGTGCTGGCTATCGTCGATTCCCACCACAACCGTTTGAACTCTTATAACATTAGAAGATATATCAATTGTTGAGCCGGGCTAGATACACCTGGCATGGAGATGGGGGTGATATACTTTTTATTTTTATATACTAATGAATTATAAGGATTTGATTAACTTGAGAGCATCTCCAATTATTTCTTTATATGACTCAAACTCTTTATATAAAGAGTTTATCTATAAATAAGAGTTCAACAGACTTTGTATCTTAAAATATAAATTAGAGAGTGAGTTTGACTCTCTACTCGCATATTTAGAGAGTCAAATTTCACTCTCTATCCTAATTTAATTAATAAACTATTTTTTCTTATATATTTATTTATTAATTCTCTCTTCCATTAAATCTCTTTCTTAAAAATAAAGAGTATCTCATTAAATTTAAGAGTCTATTGAATTTGAATAAAAATTATGTTATTTGTATTTTAAAATTAATGAAGATGCTCTTCAAAATAAAGAACACCACTGAAGTGCTCTTAAGAGCATCTCTAAAGGACTCTTTATTGATACAAACTCTTTATTAAAAGATTTTATCTATAAAAAACAGAGTCCAACAGACTCTTTATCTTAAAATAAATTAGAAGAGTGAGTTTGACTCTCTACATTTAGAGAGTCAAATTTCACTCTCTACTTAATTTTAATTAATAAACTACAATTCCTATGCATTTTATTTATTAATTCTCTCTCCATTATTCTTTTCTTAAAAATAAAGAGCATCTTCATAAATTTAAAGAGTCTACTAGATTTAATAAAAATTTTTTATTTATATTTAAATTAATGAAGATGTTTTTTATTATAAAGAATGTTTCTTCAAATAAAGAGCACATTGAAGAATACTCTTACACATTAATTTTAAATAATTAATGCCACTCTGTGTGCTCAATACTTATCTAAATATTATTAAGACATTAGAGGATATAAAAAGTATTTATTTAAATTAATTTATGATTATGTGGTTTTATATTTGAAAGCTTGGTGTTATAAATATAAATCTTATAACTATAAACTAACTAAGTAAATCTCGCCTAACTTAACATTGAATGGGATGCGTTGATCCTTATATTAGGCAGAGTAGAGAAATTAAGACGAAAGAAAACGTAAGCACATCCTAAAACATCGCCACGTGGTATCCATGAGATGTTGTTGGTGAAAGACGCACTTTTTGTTGTGGGCCAGGTCCGGTTATAATATATAGACCAGGCTTGGGCTGCCGATCAGAAGGAATGTTGTTGAGATTTTCCTTTATAAATGGCACGGTAACCACCTGTTAAGTAAAGGATTAATGGAACTTTTATATTAATATAACTAGGGCGGGCCCTGCCGCCCATTGTTTTCCAACTCTCCACTCAACCATCTTAGATCCTCCATTCCGATTGGTTTGGCAGCTTATCTTGACATATGCCTTACGTTTGTGCAATGGTCTAGTTTTGAAGTTAACTTAATTCTTTATATTATTATATATCTAAACTTTATTATAAGTATACTGTATATAGTCTTATTTACGTCTTTCTTATATTTTGATTAGAAGATTAATTAGTAGGTATTGTGAAGTGTGGGGAACATATTAATTAGAATTATTTCCCTATTTATGTAATGTGTATATAAAATTAGAACACGTAGTGATACTGATGTATATTAAAAAAGCAAAAGAAAGATTTAGGTGTCTGTTATGTATTTAAGTGAAGATTTAATCATTATCCCGCCTGCGTCTTTGTTAATAGTTGTCATATTCTTAACATTATCATATATAAATACAATGCATTTGTATTTATGTAGCCTATTCAGAATGACTTTTCTCAACTTAATTAATAATATGGTTCCTGATTGCAGAAAATTCACATGCTTTTGATATTAGCCATTAATTGGTCAATATTGAAGATGACAATACTTTCCTTTTCCCGTGATGATTTAAGTAATAACCCCCCACTAATAAATGTAATGATATCACATTCCAAGACAAAACTGATCGTAGATAGTGCACACCAGCCATAACGACTTTTTTACAAAAAAAAAAAAAAGTGATTTCTTGTATTTTTTTTTTTTCCTTTCTCTTTTGATGAAATACTAACCATTGCTTCATTATTAAATTAGCTCCACCCAAAACACTATCTCCACCACTAACCTATACATGGGCCAGGTATTATATTGCTTTGATGGTTGAGACTGTCGATATATATATATATATTAGTATGAAGATAAAACTTTAGTCATCGTCATAGTCTAACATTGCCATAAATAGTGTAAGATGGATGTAATTCTGACATTCACTTAAATGTAAACTCAATTTAAATTGCTTATTCGCTACAGTCACCCTTGAGTTGCCCTCTATATACTTCTCAAGTAGGAGGAACTTTAATATTCATATATTTGTAGGAAGGAGAGAGGAGAGAAGCTTCAAGATCACCGAGAAAACTTAAGAATCAATTTTGATCCTACGTTTTTTATTCATCAGACCCAAATTAGGAAAATTTAGGCATTAGCTATGAAGTTCTGAGAAATATCAGGAGTACATGCAAGGACAAGATGAGAAAAAACTACCTGGCCTTGGTATCAAAAACCTCAAGAAGATTCTTAAAAAGTGCAGGAGAGACTTTCAATCTCAACAACACCTTGTGGAGTTATTGACCTCCACACCTGCCCTCACCAATGTTCTGGTATCCATTTTTTGTTCCTGTCCCCCCACCATTTTCTTTAGCTATTTTAGCTGTCATATGTTATCCTGAATCAAGTTTTCTTATTCATATTAACAATTGAAATATGGGTATAACTATAATATACTACTCGTATGAGATGAGTTGTGTTTAGCAGATTGAATAAAATTAATCGAATTTATTTTGTTGTTTGTTCATGGAAAATGCAGAATCTATTCATAATGAATATTTCTCAAATTCCTCTATCCGTAGTTCAATACCTTGAGGTGCTGCTTTTTTACATTTATTATTATTTTTTACTTCATTTTAAAACATTTTTGTTCATTCACACTGGTTACTCATATATCCTAATTCAACTTGATTTTTAGTGTGCGATGGCACCTTCTTCCCTTCCCTTCTCATGAAATGTCAGCTGTAGTAGGCTGCTTTAATGAACGGGCTCAAATTGCTTGAGATCATTTGGCTTCTGGCTTTTCAAAGTGCTTTATTTGGTTTAAAGGCAAGATTCAAGGGACCCATGTTGCCTTAATTCAAGAAGGCAAGGACTTGGTTAACTATGCACTAATTAATGCCATTGCAATTCGAAAGATACTGAGAAATATGTAAGTATATTTTATCCCATTTCGTAAAGTGGATT